ATGTTCTGCACAATGAGATTGAGGTTGAGCCGTATGTTGAAATACACAAGGGTGTTCTTCGAGGTTTAAATTCGAATAGAAATGGGAATTGGATTGTACGAGAGCACAATCGAAGTTTCATACCATGGTTTAAGGAACATATTTATTCAAAGTATCGTTCAGATCCCGCCTCAGTGACAGAAAGGTTGAGATGTTTAGCATATGGTCCAAGTTTGGTTGCGTTTTCTTATAGCGCATACGCAATTAATGGATACACATTTTATACCAAAGAACAAGATGATAAAAGTATTGTGCAAAATAGTGGTGTCACCTTGGTAGCTGAAGCAATGCACATATCTAGTGTGAAGGACTTAAACCCGAAATTTGCAAATCTGTCGTATTTTGGGGTTATCGAGCGCATTTGGGTCTTTGATTACGAGAAATTTCAGATTCCTATATTCGGTTGCAAGTGGGTTGAAAATAATAATGGTATACGGATGGATAAGTCAGGATTTTTGCAAGTGGATCTTAACAGGGCGGGGTACAAAGATGAGCCTTTCATTCTAGCCTCTCAAGCTAAACAAGTGTTTTATGTCACTGATCCGACAAGTACGAAATGGTCTATAGTGCTTTTCTCTAACAAAGTAATTGATGAAAAGATTGGAGACCAAGGCGATACTGGTGTTGACATTGAATCTTTTACCAGAAATGATCAAAATGAGAATGAATCATGCATTAGAAATGATCATAATGAGGGTATTTGGATCAATCCAACCGTCCGCGTTATTAAGAGACGAGTAGAACATATTCCTACCAAGAAAAGAAAGAGATGTTAGTGAAAAAGGTAATAGTATATATAATTATAGACAATGTCATTCAATAAAATAATATATATATTTATGCTACTTGATAAATCAATAGATGTGTATAATCTTATTTGTTTTTCTATGTAGTGCCCTCAACAACAAAACGGCATAGATTGCGGATACTTCGTTTTGAAGTTTATCAAAGAAATCATTCAAATGAATGAAATCGAGATTCCAATCACGGTATGGATTTATACTTTGTTTTATTACTTATCGGATTTTGCATATAATTTATTACATTAAACTAAATCATGCATATATTTTGTTTTGTAATGTAGTATTTTGATCAATACAATTGTCCATATTACTCGCCACGTCAATTGGAAGAACTCAAAGAGGAGTTGTGCCAATATTTTATTGAGCTAAGAATCTTATAATAAGGTACGAATACATTGTTGTGTGAAAATTGGTTAATTATGAATATATTGTTTTGTGTATACAACACTGACCGTGTTATTATGTTCATATTGCAGGATCAGGACCTTGGATATATATGTAGATTAGGATTGATTTACTTAGTGTTATATAGCTGATTTCTTAGGGTGTATTTTGTTACGTTTAAAAACATGTTAATATTGAATTACCATGGTGTATATATATTTTGGATATGAATTGATTATAATGGTATTTGTATATATATATAATATTTGGTATTTGAATTACATTTGGTATTTGGATTAAAACTAATATATATTGGTATTTCTAGATTAGATTGTAAAATACCGGTTTAAGAATTACAGGTTTGCTGCAAAAAAATGCAGGTTTAGAAATTTTTTAAATTTTAGATTTTTCAGTAGAAAACCTATGAAAGCGCTTTTAAGAAAAAAGCGCTCTCGTAGTCCTACCTATGAAAGCGCTTTTTGATTAAAAGCGCTTTCATAGGTAGGCCTACGAGAGCGCTTTTTTCTGAACAAAAAGCGCTCTTATAGGCCTACTTTAGATTGCCTGACACGCATTCTGAATACACCTATGAAAGCGCTTTTTCAGAAAAAAGCGCTCTCGTAGGCCTACCTATGAAAGCGCTTTTTACCAAAAAGCGCTTTCATAGGTAGGCCTACGAGAGCGCTTTTTTCTGAACAAAAAGCGCTGCTAAAACCTTTAGCAGCGCCACCTACGAGAGCGCTTTTAAAGCGCAAAAAAAGCGCTTTCGTAGGTTATTTCTGGCATAGTGAGATGTTATTGCTTCTGAGTTGGTTGTTTCTGGGAAGTCTATTGCTGAAGATGGTTTGTCTGCTGGGTTATCAAAGGCTGCTGCTGCTGCTAAAGGAATCCTTTTGGGATAAAGGAAACTCTAGATGAGCTGAAGAAGACCAATGTTTTAATCCAAACTCGTTTGGACAAGAAAGATGAAAGAGTTGATCATCGTGATGTTGCTATCACTTTGCTTTCCAACACGATGAAGGATTTCATGGCCAATAGTCTTCCTTCTCCTCCACCGAGGACTTAGACCCTTGTTTTTGCCATTGTTTTTATAACTTTGAAGTTTTTTTTTGTGTTTCTAAAACTTTTTATACAACTAGTCTTTGGTTAATGAAAAGTTTACTTTTATATCTTTAAATATTTTTTATTTCAGACAAAGGGGGATAACTTGATATGATTTTATATATCTATTCTAATAATCTTGTTCCCAAACATTTTATGATATTTTTTCCACTAACATTGTTTGACTCAGGAACTTTGAGAAAGTTCACTAAAATTTTCTTAACAGCCAAACTCGAAAGCTCTGAAGGAATTTTAGATTTTAAAGATTCATAAGTCTTTGGTTATCTGTCATTTGGTAAAAGGAATTTCAACCATATTCTGAAGGTTTGAAAAGTTCAAACAAACTTTGATACATCATCATCTTTTGATCGCAAGCCAGAATCTGAGATGAAGATTTCTGCAAAGCTAGTGATATTTTTTTACTGTTCTTCAATCAGGGAAGTATGCCTTTGTTCTGATTGATTTGTGTTATTTCTCAAAACTTCTTTAAGTATTAAACTCATGGGGAGACTCTAAACAAGATTAAATAAGTTTTGGAAATATATAACTCAGGGGGGCTGTTTAGATAATTCTGAAATTGTTTTATGTGATTAAACTGGTATAAATTGTTTATCAAAATACATGGTTTTGTCATCATAAAAATGGGGAGATCGTAAGAACAAGATTTGATTATGCATCTAACCTTGAGTTTTAATGATAACATTATATGGATGATAAGATAACAATTCAGTACCCCTAATAATTTGTTTAGTGTGTAGCTTTTTCTAATAGGTTCTAACTCTGAAGAATTGACGTGTGACGTCATTAGATTCTAGAATCAACACACTAAGTGAGATAAGTGCGTGTGTCATTGCTTAGAATGATTCTTAAAACAACGGTTCTGATGAACATTAGTTTTATTGCTTCTAACTGTGACTATGCAGTAGAACTTCTGAAGGATTCTTAAGCTCTCTTGCTCCAAAGTTCCGGAGATTCTAAAGATGAGGTTTTGTTGAACAAGTTTTGAAGACCAAGATTGCAAAGATTCTAAAGACGAGGTTCTGTTGAACGAATTCTAAATCATGTGAAGATATAGCTCTGAAAATCAACATGTTGAAGATTCTGAAGACAAGGTTATGTTGAGCAAAGTTCTAAAGACTTTAAAGACAAAGATTTTGAAGACTGGTTTTGATTCTGTTAAGCATGCTTCGACTTTTACATACTCTAAAGCCTCTGAAGATTAGAAGAAAAGATCAAAAGTATCACGTGCAGTGTTAGTACAATATCACTTTCTTCCACTACCCTGATTATGTGGTGCAAGGACTGTACCTTTGGTACTATGTTGTCTACCACTCTCATCGACCATTGCAAGGAGAAAGCTGGAATTTTGGTATTCCTATTTTATCATCCAACTAATTTATTTTCAGCTATAAAAGAAAGACTTGGAAGAATTGGAATCGTTGAACAACTTTGAAGAAACTCACACCGATTCAAATTTCTAAAATGCTACCAAAATTACTATGTACTTTTTGTAAAGCAAGGAACTTTTGTTCATTAACTTGATAGCAAGAAACTGTTATTCGCTAACTTGCTTAACAATGTTGTGTTATTTTTTGTTTTTCATTTCTGTGTAATCTGCTCTCAAGAAGCATTATTGTAGACACAAAAGCTTATTCAATAATGAGTTGATTGTTCCTTGAGTGACTAAGTGTTAGTCAGTATTCTCAAGAAGTCATTGACAGTTTGTCTTTGAGTTGTTGTTCCTTGAGAGACTAGGATTTAGTCAGGATTCTGAAGAAGACATTGATAGTTTGTCTTTGTGGATTATAATCAGTTTTATTATAGTGAATTAAGTCTTTGATTGAGAAAGACAAATCACTTTGGTGGGTGGACTGAATTAACTTCGTTAACAGTGAACCATGACAAAAATAATCATATTCATTTATTTTTATTCTTATGTTATTAGTTTTAAAATAGATTCTATTTCTAAAAACGCAATTCAAACTCCTTCTTTTTATGTTTCTTGCACCTTCACTTTTCTGTGGTAGTGTATAGTGGTAATAAAAAGGGTGAAGAGAGCATTATGTATGTGGAGTCTTGTTGGTGATTTGAGGATTAAGCAAGAATGTGTGATTAGAGTTGTGATACCCAAAAGTACAATTCAGTTGGCTAAGAATCAAATTCACCATTCCCCTTTAATTCTAATATATGTTCGGATATAATGAAAAATCTTAACTTCAACACGTCTCAACTATGTATTTGAAAAACCTACAAATAATTATTCACAATCACAACCGCAACCACAACCATAAATTAAAACAATGGTTCAATTTAGAGACTTCACAACTGTAAGTAAATTTCTGAAGATTATTATTATTCAAAATAAAAAAAAAATAATACTCAAAATTTTAAGACTGGTCCACTATATTATTAAGGGCTAGGCCCGCTGCACCTAACATATCAAATTACTAAAAAGAAGTCACAGGATTAGATTCTCACAAGACCCATAACATCCCTTGATTTCCCTTTACTTGTTCTTACCTTCTAAGCATGAGATTCTCCACTATCTTTTCAAAAATGATGCTAAACTCATTAAATTTTTAATAAAAAAATCCACTCATATATAGTCACATAGTTATCTATGCCTGTGGCCTAACATGAACAATACTTTTCCAAAACAAAAATACATAATCGATGGGAACAAGTCACAGTACTCACACCAACCTTGGCAAAGATAGTACCTCTTTTAAATCAAGTGCAACCGGTTCCATAGCGCGATGGGGAGATTCTTTTGAGGTTTCTATGAGCAAATGGAATGAAAATGATCACACAGAAGCTTGGGGTGCAAAGTACAAAACAAGTCTTAAAAATCGCACTTGTGGTTTTAATCTAAAAGTAACCAACGGCAACAATGGTATTGACAGCATACATTTTGGTTTACTCGACACTGCTAACAACAAAACGGAACTTGCTGTGAATATCTCACGAATTGATCATCACACTCTTCGTGGAGGAATAACAGGTATTAGATTGTTTGTAATAAAAACAGAAAAGTCGAGATTCCAAATGATTTGATTTTTTTAAAATACCAAATATAATTAGTTTGATTTTGATCTTACAACTCAGATGTGACCCGCCATATTAATTCACTATTGTAACTAATTACTTTAGGGAGTCTTGCTTAAAACTGCATCTTTTATATATTGCTTATTTGATTTTGACTTGCTGCACTTTTGAATAAGGTTATAACTGGTCTTTATATGACTTAAGATAAGATATAAATGCTACGACATTAATTACAACTAGTTCCTAAAATTTTTCACAGCTCTAGAGAATATTGTCTTTTGCGCTACCCAACAGTATTAAGTTTATTACAACAAAACTCCCTCATAAATTTAAATATTTCTTTGATCCATCATTCCCAGCATCTTTTTACCTCTGTCGAATAACTCCTTCGACAATAATTTTGTGAGGATATCTGCAGCTTGATCCTTACTTGCTACATGTTTCAGTTCGACACTTCCTTTCTTCACATACTCTCGAATGAAGTGGAATCTAACGTCAATATATTTACTTCTTTCATGGTTTATTGGATTCTTCGCCAGTTCAATTGCAGATTTGTTCTCGACTAGAATTATTGTTACACCTTCTTGTCTTTACTCCATCTTGCTCAACAGTCTTCTAAGACATATTGCATGACATACACACCAAGATGCTGCCACATACTCTGCTTCATATGTCGAAAGAGTTACAATTGATTGCTTCCTCGAAATCCAGGTAAAAGCAGTGTTTCCCATAAAGAACACATATCCTGAAGTGATTTTTCGATCATCTATGTCTCCACACCAATCGTTGTCGGAGTAGCCAGTCAACTTGTAATCTTTTGTTCTTGAGTAAAATATTCCAAGTTACACAGTTCCTTGGACGTATTGAAGGATTCTTTTCAATGCCTTCCAGTGTGTATAGACTAATTCTTCCATGAATCGACTCACAATTCCAACACTCAACGAAAGATCTGGCCTTGTGAAAGTGAGGTATCGAAGACTTCCTACCATGCTTCGAAATTTGTTTGCTTCGACACGCTCTCCCCTATAAAATTTTGAGAGTTTTGCTCCTGGTTCTATCATTGTCGAAATTGGATTGCAAATATCTATTTTAAATCTCTTCAGGATGTCTTTTGCATAATTTTCTTGTGAAATAATGATTCATGTTTCTTCTTATCGAACCTTCAGACCAAGAAAGAATCTCATCAGACCTAAGCCTGTCATTTCGAACTCACGTGTCATGGTGCTCTTGAATTCTTCTATCATCTGATCATCACTGCCTAGAAAGATTAGGTCATCGACTTGGAGAGCAAAAAGTAATACATTACTTCCATTTTTCTTCACATAGAGGGCATGTTCATACGAACATTGCTCGAACCCATTCTCCTTGAAATATGTGTCGATACGTGTGTTCCATGCGCGCGGTGCTTGCTTCAGCCCATATAGTGTTTTCTTCAATTTCAACACCTTCTTCTCTTCTCCAATTCGTATATACCCGAGTGGTTGTTCGACATAGAATTCTTCTTCGAGTACACCATTCAAAAATGTTGTTTTTACATCCATTTGAAATATCGGCCATTTGAATTGAGAGGCTTGAGAAATGAGCAATTGAATTGTCTCCATTCTTGCAACAGGTGCAAATACTTCATCATAATCCATTCCTGCTTTCTGTTTGTATCCCTTCGCAATAAGTTGCACTTTATATCTCTCTATTTCTCCTTGAGCGTTCATTTTTTCTTGAATACCCACTTTACACCAATGGGTCGACCACCTTTTGATAGTTCGACTAGCTACCAAGTGTTGTTACGGTCTATTACTCTAATCTCTTCGTCCATGGCACTTTTCCACTTCTTGTCTCGTAGCACTTCTTCGAAACTGATATTTTCAGCATCTTCCAGCAGACATACAAGATGTACTTCTTCTGTGTTGTCATACAAATCTTGCAAACTTTACATTCTGGGTTGGGAAGGTTCACTTTCATCGTCAGAGTCTTCAGGGTTTGTCGAATTGTTTGTTGGTACAATGACTGATGATTCTCTAGATTCGACTACAACTTTTGTCGAATTGTTCCAGTCCCATTTTCTTGCTTCGTTTACTCGGACGTCTCTACTCACTATCACCTTTTTATTTATAGGATCGAACAATCTATATCCTTTTGTTTTCTCATCATACCCAATGAGTATGTACTTCTGAATTTTGTCTTCAAGCTTTGTTCTTCATTAATCTTGTACATCTGCATAAGCCACACTACCAAGTTTTTTGAAATAAGACATAATTGGCTTCTGTCCGCTCCATATTTCTTGTGGTGTCTGATCTCCTAACTTCGAGTGTGGACATCTATTTTCAACATAGATTTCACATTTCACAGCTTCTTCCCAATTCCTTCGACATGTTCTTGCTCTTAAGCATTAAGCAGACCATGTTGACGATTGTTCGATTTTCCTTCCAACCACCCCATTTTGTTAAGGTCAGTATGTTGCAGTTAGATATCTCCTTATTCCCTGCACTTCACAATACTTCATAAAGTTTTTCGAAGTGTACTCTCCACCTCCGTCTGATCGAAGGGCTTTGATGTGACTGTTAGTTGCCTTCTCCACCATTACTTTAATGTTTTTAAATACTTCGAATGCTTCAGATTTTTATTTTAGGAAATAGACCCAAGTCTTTCTTGAGAAATCATCAATGAAGGAAATGAAGTATTTCTTACCATTCTGGAGTGATTGACCCACATATGTCTGAATCAATTCGAGAATGTGTTTAGCCTGATATTTTTCCTTCTTTTGAAATGAGGTTCTCGTTTCTTTTCTAAGCACACATTCTTCACAAAACTTTCCTTCATATTCCATGTCTATTAGTCCATGCACCATGTTCTTCTTTGCTAATCTATTTAGCCCATCATGATGTAGATGAATAAAGCGTAGATGCCATAGAGACTCTTTGTCTTCGACATTAACTTGCAAGTATTTTTTTCGAACACTTATCAAATTCAATTTGTACATTCAATTTCTCCCCATTTAGACTTGACCAGATGCCCCAATTTTCCTTCAGGTGCAATGTTCGATCTTTCATAAATATCGAATAACCCTTTTCTGTGAATTTTCCCAAACTCAAAATGTTTTCCTTGAGATCTGGTATATAGTAAACATCTTGGATTGACCCAATCAAGTCATCCTTTTGCAAGTAACAAATTGTTCCTTTTCCTTCGACCTTCACTTTCGATGCATCTCCGAAAGATACATGACCATCTTCAATCTTTTGCATCTCCTTGAACAGTTGTTTATGACCACACATGTGGCTACTTGCTCCTGAGTCAAGATACCACATAGTGTCATTCTCTACATCTACTCCACTTTTCTTCTGAATCGACAGTCTTTCGCAAGATGTCCCACTTTACCACAATTATAGAAACTGTAGGAATTGCAGTCTTCGCATAGTGCCCATGTTTGTTACATTTGTAACATTCGATGTTGGAGTGGTTTGGTCTGCCACCTCCCTGACCACGTCCTCTGCCACGCCAATTTTGTTGTCTTGATTGTCCTCTCTCGAAGTTGTTGTTTTGATAACTTCGATCACCATCACGACCTCCACGACCACGTCCTCTCCCACGGAAATTTTGAGAAAAAAGTGCCTTTTCGTGTTTGGTCAAGTCCTTTGTTTGATTTTCTTTCTCGACTGCTTCTTCCTTCTTTTTTATCTTACGTTGTTTGTGTGCCTTGAGGGAGCCAGCAACTTCTTCGACAGTGACCGTCGACAGGTCCTTCGACACTTCTATTGCACATACTATATTTTCAAACTTGTCTGTTACAGATCTCCGATTTTTTTTGACAATGAGAACATCAGTCAATGCTTCTCCATTTCAATTCAGTTGGTTTGCGATTGTTTGTACACGCGTGATATAGTCCGACACGGACTCTGTCTCCTTCATCTTCATTCTTTCTAGTTCTCCTCGAAGAGTTTGCAAGCGAGCTTGCTTAACTCGATCTTCTCCTTTGAACGTCTTTTCTAGTGTGTCTCATGCTTCCTTCGACGTAGTCGAACCAGCAATTTTTTCAAAAGCTGATTCATCGGCAACTCTAAACAACATGTACAATGCTGTTTTACCTTTCAATCGCGTCTCTTTCAACGTCTTGTTATGGGATGTTGTGAACCCCGTTGTGTTTTTGTTTCTTTAAACTCATCATCTGTTACTTCCCACACATCTAAAGATCCAATGAGCGCCTTCATTTGGATACTCCAGTTTTCATAGTTTCATTTTGATAATTGCGGCAATGGCATTTGACTCATCATGTTTGCCATTAGCTCTGATACTAATTTGCTGCACTATGGCGCTTCTTCTTCTATACTTCTACTTTAGGAAGTCTTTCTTATAACTGCACCATTTATATATTACTTACTTGATTCAAGATTGTTGCACTTTTGAATAAGGTTACAATTAGTCTTTATACAGAGACCTAAGATAAGATATAAATGCTATAATATTAATTACAACTAAATCCTAAACCTTTTCACTACTCAAGAAAATATTGTCTTTTATGTTATCCAACAGTATTAAATTTATACAATAATATATAGATACTGGTGGGTTGACACAACCAATATAAAAAATATAGAACATTGACACTGGTACATATTTATTTAGTAACAAGTAATTAATTATTTTTGAATCACAGGACTGAGTTCTTCTGTTTCTCCAAAATCTTTCACGAGGACCAAACCAGATTACTTAATAGAGACTACTGTTGTTTCCTACAATTGTTCCCACAGAGAAGGTCTTTTTGTTCTTGAAATGAAGAAAAAGGGAAACTCTGAAAATGCTTGCATAGTGAATCTAGCACATTATTATGTAACCAAAGATGTTGGTCTTTCTGTTAGGGCTAAAATTTATCGAAACAAAGGTAATAGTTTTGTTGTCGAAGTTGAAGGTCCATTTAAACATCCAAGTGTTGATTTACGTAAGGTTCTTGTTAAAACATGTAGCAGTGGAGTTTGGTCACCGGGTGCTTGTTCTCACTGTAAAGGAACAAAAACAAAGGCTAGCACGGGTGTAAAAAATGAAGATTCTAACTCAATGTCGAAAGGTCAAACTCGTGTTCAACATTCTAGTTCTTTAATGTTGAAAGGTGAATCTCATGTTCAACAGCAGAATAATGGAAAGGTAGTAGGTGAAGTTGTTAAACATGGTTTCTTCTCGAGTACTGTTAGAGAGCAAATTAACACTGGGCTTATTAATTCAACTGGATATACTTCTGGTACTTTAAATAACTCTATCATTTTTGTAGAATGTAATTTTTAAATGCACATTTGGAAATTGTTGCTTGTATGATGTGAAAGTATTGAAGTGTGATTCTGATGCCTAATAAAAATGGAACTCAAATTAGAACATGAGAAAATTAATAACAATGTTTAAATTATTAGACTTTGTTGATTTAGTTAGACTTTGATATGTAATTTAAATTGCAAGTCACGAGTTAGTTAGCATTCGTTGGAGATTACTTGTGTTACAAGTAACAAGTTTTTCTTGTATTGAAGAGAAGCTTATATTAAGGTATTTTCATGGTAATGAGAAGTCAAGTCATTCCATCACTCTCTAACAAGTGATGCCAAGCCGAGTCTCCGATCCTAAATAAAAAACATAATTCTTTGAATTTCGGCAGAAAAAGTGGTTAAAGTTGTTATATTCATATATATCTCTCTGGCTTCTCAAAACTCATCCATGGCGGATTCCTCCAAGTTTGCAACTCCTGCAATTCTTAAATATTATGGTTTATATGATTATTGATCTAAGCTAATTGAAAACCTTATTCCAAAATAATACCAAGGTATAAATAATACATTTTCATCTTAGCCAATTAAAAACCATAGTACATATTTTCATCTTAGCAAATTAAAACCAAGGTCAAATACCATGAAGTGCAACCTTTTAATTTTTTTTCAAAAAATTATATCTATTCCCTCGATTTTTTTATTCAACCGACAAGAATAGTCGTTTAGGGTTTGAGCTTCGATTCACAACTCCGATAATTTCATGTTTTATTTAGAATAAAAATGACACCCTTGTTTTATTTAATTTTTTAATTACAATATAAATCATTTATCCCCTCAGTTTTTTGGTCAAACCGACATGAAGCGTCGCTCAGGGTTCGAGCTTCGATGCTCGGTGGGAGAACTGACTTGAAGGTTTTGCGTTTGATCGTAAATGTTGCGGTTATTAAGAGTCGCCACCGACTTTTCTTTTATCCAAAGGAAAGGTGAAAAAGCACAGGAAAGACCTTTGAGATTGTTTCTTGGGTTCGGGGGATAGATTATGAAAAGGGAAGGTATTAGCACCCTTTTCATCCATGGTTTTCCATGGACTCTTAGTTACTTGCTAGATCACTTGCTTTTGTTTGAAATTGTGCTTTGTGTGGTTTTCGAAAGTGTTTTGTAAAAGAAGCCATTGTTTAGGCAATCTTTGTAATGATTCTCATTCGTAAGAATGTATACAAAGATTTTGATCTTTTGAAAATGTTTTCAAGTTTGTAAGATGTTTTGAAATGTGTAGGTGTTTGTTTTTGAAAATAGCAAGGATGTTTGTTTTGAAATGGAGCAAGTAATTAGGAGCAATCTACCTACTCAAATGTCTTTCTTGTTCATTTTCTCTTCCTTTGACATTGTTGTCTTACCATTGATTTGGTAAGAAACCCTATCTTTGGATGTAAACGGGACGGGCGTGGGTCATCGTATGACTATGATTAGCAATGTTGCAAGGTTTCTTAGCATTCTTTTTTAGGGACTAAGATCATTTGTAAAACAACTTAGATAGCGTCATCGAGGGACTATGATCTTATATTTGTTTGTTTTTGCTAAGATACCTTACATGCGTAATATGGCCATTTTGTATAAGGCAACCAAGTAGGATAATCCTAGGGGTGCTTGTGTGCGAGTGTATTATTTTCATGCTTGATTTTGTCTTGAATTAGGGTTTTCTATTTGATTGATTTTATTCTTTCCATACAAACCCTAATTACTAGCATATTATGTAAAAGCAATAAATTGTGAAATTTAAAGTTACTACGCTATTACAACATTTGTGGGAGGGGGGTATACAATTTATGAATGGGGATTGCAATAATATAAACCTAATTAATCTATTACAACCAAATTGAATATTGTACAAATAATTGAAGGAATATATAAAGTACAAATGTAAATTGAAAGAAATAGTTTTTGTGTTTGGATTTTTGTACGAAGGGGGTTTTATCCTAAACCTAATTAGAGAAAAAAATAATTAAATTAAATTAACTTAAGTTAATTAAGGAAAGAAATTAATTAAAAAAAGATTTTAATTAAGAAAAGATTTTTTTGAATAAAACCCTAAATCTATTTTAGTTGATTAAAAGAAAATAAATTTAAAGAAAAAGTTTTTTTTTTGTATATTTGTCTTGAAAATAATATGTGGTATTATGAAATATTTTTAGTCTTTTTTATATTAAAATAAATATATTTAGATAAATAATAATCTAGTTTTATTTTAATTTACAAGGAAATTAATAAAAGTAAATAAAGTATAATAAATAAAATAATTTTTTATGTGGAAAATTATGTCAAAATATAAATCTATTATTTTTATACTTCATATGATTTTTTGATATTTTAGAAAATATATTTAAAAGAAAAAGAAATGAATAAATAAAAAATAAAAAAATGGGCCAAGGGATGTCATAAGTAAACAGGGGAGTATGCTAGTAGAAATAAAAAAAAATGTCATGCCCGAAGGGCCCAGCGCCTGCAAAAAAAGTGTTAGGAAATCAGAAAAATGAAAAAATACAAAAGGGGGGTTCACACTGGTTCGAACCCTCTCCCTTTAGGTAACACATGGCTTAGTACGCACGCGCTCTCCACTGGGGTGGATGTTTTATCCGGTCATATAATCAAAGCATAAATATATATTAGAAACTGCTTTCTGAAGGCAACTTCGTCTTCAACCTTGAGCCTAGCCGGACCACCTATATCTTCCCCATATCTCCACAAAAATGGAAAGTTCAAACATGAAAATTTTGGTGTTTCATCCCACGAATTCAACCATATAACGTATGTAAGCTAAATGTCAAAGATAAAAACTAATTTTGCTGGCCCTAAATTGAAACCTAATTTTCTCAGAAATTTCAAATCTAAAATTCTCTATGCACAGTCAATATAACTGGAAACTATGAATATGATTAGCTTTAGAGCAAGGATATCTATATTTTGTTTTCACAAATCAGGGTCAAATGATGCTTGTATGAAGAGATAGAAGTTTGAGTTTTTACCTCTTGCTGCTGGAGTTGTGAATGGAGTTTGAACAACTTTTGAGATGGCCTGAGGATTTGTTTAGCTTGCCTGGACCTCCTTGAGTGTATTCCAACTCTTACTTTTCCTTGAAAGTCCCTGAATCTCTCTACTCAAGTCAACCTGCAAGCTTGATATTTGAAAATGGTGGATGGTGATGGAGGAGCTACAGTCTTGAAACAGGGGCCTGAATTGATTTGGTATGATGTATAGAAGGTGTTTGAGTGATTAGTTTTCAAAACTCACGAGTGGAAATGAAGATCATGAGTTTTGGTTCAGAATTGTGTGTTAATGGTGTTCTTGAACAGGTTTATGATTTTTAAGTGTTTGAAGTAGTTTCAGGGCACTTGCATTCGTGTGCCAACTTTCAAATAGTGTGTATACTTATAAGCAAGAGTTTGTGAGGCTTGTAACAACTCAGAATTTGAAACCCACACATTATGGCTTGGTTACTTATTTTTGAAGCAAAGTTAACAAGCATGGTTTCAATGTGAAGTACAAGGCTTGTAGGGTGGATGAAACCTTTAAACACACTTTTTCTGATTGTGTAGAGTGTGTTTGTGCATAAAGAACAAATGCAAGGCTCAATGCAAGCTGACTTTGCATAAAGCTTGCTTTTCTAAAATGGCAATGTTGCCTTTCTTCCCAAAATGGAATTATACTTGTACAATACATTGAATGCTTGGATTAAAGTTTCCAACAGCTGTGAAAACATTTAATTATGGAGTGAAATTCAAGTTAGAAGCCTGCAAAGTGAGATTTGTACAACATGCTTGAAGATTGGATCCAATGTCCATCATGAAAATGGCTTGAAAAACAAGAATGGAACCCTAACTTCATCTCTTCGATTCTCCCTACTCAAGAATGATCTCAAGGATTTCTTTGACATTTTAGAAAGCTTGAAATATTCTATACAACTCATCTTTGAATTGCTTTTGAAGATTCCCTTTGGAACTATGTGAAAAAGTGTCATAAAGTTAGGTCAAAAATCTGTCTAACTAGGGCAAAATTTCACTAAGTAATTTTTAGTTCATGAGCATGTATTCACAAAATTATAACTTGAGATCCAAGCATTTTTAGGAGAAGTTTTGTGAACCAATATTGTATATTTAATGGAGATCTACAACTTTCATTTTGGAAGTTTCTTTTGAATCATATTTCATCATAATGAAAAAATTGCTCAAAGTTATGAAAAAATAAGAAATTTCCAACACTTAGAAAAATTTCTAAGTTTAGAAATTTTGACTTTTCAAAATGAAATCTTGATTTCTTGGTTTCTTGATGAATAAGTTTCATATTTTGACATGTTTTGATGGATCATGATCCTTGGTACCTGAATTTGACCAAAAAGTCAAAGTTTGACTTCTCAGTATACAGTTGACTTTTGATCAGTTGACTGCAAAATTCATCTGTCAATCCAATGGTCTTGCAATGTTTTGAATCATGTCATTAGGTCAAAATGATGCAATTGGACACTTGAGATCATTCCTTTAACCAATTGATCATTTTCTAGGTCAAAAATCAGAAATTGCCCTTTCTCAGTCAAAACCCTAATTTTGACCATTTTGCCCTTCTAGAGATTTGATCAAATTTCTTAAGGAATTATGGTCCAAACTTGATCAAATGATACATATGGATTTAAAATGTTGATGTGGATAAAAAATTATGAAGTTTGACTGTAAATTGGCCATGGTTGACTTTTTCCCCAATACAGTTGATTTTTAGGTCAACTGTTCAATTGACTGATCAAAAGTGTGATCCAAGACTTGAAACTTGACATGAGTGATCTTGGGAGTCCATAATGATCCATGAAAGCCATATGAAGCATTGATAGTTCAAAAATCCTTGTGCAAACTCAAACTCTAATTTTGATCATTAGTGCTTAAGGAGGTGTCTTGAGCTGATCAAACCCTAGTGCAGTCTTGAGCTGATCAAACTCTATGTTGAAGATTAATAATAAATTTCTAGACAGTATCAGAGAAGCTC